AAATAAAAAAAAATTGTATGTTTCTGTAAAAAATAAAAAATTATTGAAAAAATAAAAGCGTGCAATACTTTTGTCCCCCCCCCGGTATATCAGAAGTAATCCAAATACATGAAATTTCTATACTAAATTGCTAAAATAGATAATAAACAAAATCGAATTTTAGCCTAGATAAAAAATACACAATTCCCTTTATGAAGATGAAATCATTGAGCTATCTTCCATTTGTCTGCGTGATGTTGATAAAGATGTATGGTATAGTAAAGACATGTTGACGATGATAATATTCTAAAAATCAGAATCGCATTAGAAAATATTTCTCTGACTAAAAGAATATTTATAGCTAGTGTGAATAATAAACTCGTAAAATAAGCAAAGTCTTTACAAAATTTGCCAAGTCATATTCTTTTATAAGGCGTACAGGTATCTTGGCCGAGTGTAAATGATAATAACGATATATCTCATCTTCACTTCTTGTGATAACATTTAATGTATTTTCCGCTCTACAAAGTTTCTATATTATTAAAAAAAATCTCATGAAATATGGATCGTGAAAAATATAAGAAAATTATTTTACTAGCAACCTGGATTCTAACAATCCCAAATTGCTCCTTCTCTGGTTTACATCCTTTTCGAGCTCAATTTAATCCATTATTAGTCTCTCGCTATAATTTTACCATATTATCCAATTCTTTCGTTTAGTATAAGATAACCGCGAGCATTCGACAAATATAAGTTCATAAACTTTCCCATTGTATTTAAACTCAAACATCATATCTGGTCGTCTTCTTATTTAACCATCGCTCTTTCTATCAGCACTGGTGAGACTTTGCCATTCTGATGTACTAATGAATGCAGTCTTTCCAAAAGAAAGATTTTTCAAAGCAGATCGGATTGCTAGTATTATCACATTTGTCACATAAGTGCATTCATTAAGCGAATCTTCAAAATCTGGTCTAAACATCAGATTGTTCTAGACATCGCTCTTATTAATAATGAATCAGTAATATATACAGTAATAATTTTCTTTGTTATTACTTACAATGTATTAAGAATATTAGTCACAACTCTAGCAAGTATCTCTACTGACTCTTTCTAAGAACTATCGTGCTTTAATTTATCAGATAAACTTTCCGTTCAATGTTCATTGAAGTTTGCTATAAATCTTCTACATGTTTCTCGAATTATTGCTAAATTTGGAGGTATCATTCGACTCGATGGCTTCTAGTAAAGAGAGTTGAATTAGAAACTTGATTGTTATAATTCTCAAAAATTATAAAGTACTTACTAAGAAAGTATTTTGTATTTTCTGTGAAAGGTTCTGAACTAAGCCTGAATTGTCACTAATAACTCTACTAGCAAGTGAGTCTTTTCATGAAAGGTTAGAAGCAGTAATTGATCTCAATCCAAGTATTAATTCATTAGAAAGTGAGGATTGTTTTCTCTATAATAGAATAACCAGTTAATAAAGAATTTAGTTCTAAGAACATTATCTGCATATGCTTACTGAAAGTTTTGATTTCATATTATTCAAGTTTGCATCAATTTGTTCTGAGATAAGAGGTTTTTCTTTATTCACTTTCATAACTCTGATATCCCGTAAGCTACAGATGCCTTCAAAAGATACATCAAACTATGATAATTATAGATTGAGTTATTATTCCCATAAACAAAATCACCTTCCAAAATTAATGCACGCGCTATCAGCTGTCGTAAGAAAAATTATTGTCTTTGCGGGACCCTTACGTTAATGATAATTTTTGCATAGTACGATAATAATCACATATGGATAAAATATAATACTATGGTATATTCACTCTCCATGCGTTCGAGGAAAATAGTTATCTCTTAATTGCAGGCTATTAGAATATCTAAACTGTTATGTTCACTATTTAGGAGGTACTAAAGCTATGACAAATCATCATTCTATTTAACGAATATTTTTTTAGGTTCATTTTGTAAGGACTTACCTGAAGAGGTATTCCAAGAAATTTTTGTTGATGTTCTGAACCTTGGATATAAAGATTCATTGCCGATGAAATTGCTTGATGAACCACTTCTCTTAACTCTTCTTTCGGAATCCATAAATCCTCCTCTATTCCTTGATAGATAACTGAGGTGGCAGTAATGTGTTCTTACTTAGCAGTTACTAAAAAATAGTAAATTTTCAAATATAATTCAGAAGATATAGTTTAGTATTGTTAATATAGAATAAGCAATCCAAACTAAAAAATTCGTATACTTATCCTTTTAAATGATTCCATTTCATGTCTCTCTAAACCTACATTCATGTTGGAAAGAAGGGAAAGGAGAATATACAAGACAGTTTACGCTAAAATTTGTGTTAGAAAATAAAGGCATGCGGAATGTGCATTAAAGATTTCTACATTTACAAAGGCGTTAGAGGCGATACATATACCTTCTTTTTTATTTCACTTGCTCGACTGCTTAGTAATGAAGGCCTAGTAGTATTATATAAATATACTCTGGTCAAAATCTAGTAAAAATAGACTCTAGCATCGGAGGAAATAAACTCATAAATAAATGCTATTCAGATAGATAGGAAAAAATTCAAAATATTCTTAAGGTCAATTTCTTGTGTGAAAATTATTTTGTCGCACAAGCAGTTATACAGAGTTACAGATGATTTGTGATGTATCACTTATTACATTATATATACTTTAACGAGAATCAGAAACATGTTTTATTTATGTCGTATACTGTTCTCCTACATATATTGGCCTTAAGGTGCTTCACATGGTTGGACAGTATATTATTTTATTAAGACAATATTCGGGATCTGGATCAAGGACTAATCTGGAAAATTTGACATACTAACTCACAATTATCATCTAACTTTGAGAAATTTACGGTAATATCTTTTTTCCTGTAAATACAATATATGTATTTTAACGGTGAATCGCATATAGGTTTTTCCATTCCTGATGATCTACTCTTATATACCTTATATTCTGAAATTCTGATAAAGAATGCATAATTATATTTTTTTTTATGAATGCTACTATAATATTCGGGATTCTATGGCTATTTTAACATGTCAAGCCAATATGTTTCTCTAACAATCATATAGCCTTGCTTATATAATAATTTCCTAACAAGTATGTGTATCACAAAAGCTAATAGTCCCCATAATTGGACTCTCTTCTCATATATCTAAGTAGTAGTAAAATAAATGTTATGCTGATTTTCTATATAAAATTAGTCAATCACATAATTAGATTTTATTAGTTTTTCATTAATAAAATAATATGTTTTACCACGAGGAAAGATATCTAAAAACTTCTTATTGTCAGAAGTGCTATCATTCCTCACTACCTTCCAAATCCATTTTGCCAAAGATTCAGGTCTTTTCTTGTAATTCTTGTAAGCTCGTTGGATAATTGTTACATAGAAATTCTCAAACTAATAGTTATATTGTCTTGCAATCAAGAATCCCCAAGATCGCTTCATTGATCTTCCTGAACTTCTCAAAAAATACTTTATTAAAATAGTTATCTCTTAAATGGTAAGAAAAATAGAAAGATATTTAAGAAACAATAGGAGTTCACCTAGAGGTGAGACTACTATATAATCGATCTGGCAGATTTGCCTGCAAACTATTTAAGAAATAGATTAAAGGATCTAACCTAGACTAGGTAGATCATGCATAGTGTCTGCACTAGACGATCATGCATACAGATTAATATAGCTATTCATTTCGCAAAAAAATAAAATATATCATAGAATTGCATCTTTGGCTAAATATATTCGATATTAATGTTAATATTCAGTTGAAAGATATTGCGAAGCGTCTCAATGGCTAAGTCTATTTTCTTCCTGCATTTTCCGCATAGAATTAAAATATGCTTCGGCAAGATCGCTAAAACTAGTCTTGCTAGAAATTTCAGGTGCACTTATACTACGTCGTATTAATGCATCAGGCTTTCGTAGCAATAAAAGAGGAGTTGGCCTATTTAATGTTTCAGATCTTTGGTTCAATATATGATGAGAAATCGGTGAAACCATTTTTTGCCCGGCATTAGAAATATAAGCTGGCTCAAAATTTGAAGCACTTAGCATATTATTTTTTGTTATAGTTGCTTTGGCCGAAAGTTAAACTTCATAGCTGACTGAATGAGTATCATAATTATATGATATCGATGCCAATTTATTCTTTTCTAAGTGTGAAGTAGATTGGGAGAAAAGCTTTAGACAAAGACGATTAAGTTTAGCCTCTTCTTGTAATATGTATTGTTTATATACCCAGATAGTAGATTCTCTTTCATCAATAGATTGAAGAATTTCTTTTCTTCTTGCATGTTCGTTTGAAATAATATCTCTATTAATACATCTCTTAAAGTGATTATCTCGATAGCAAGTTTCTAAACAAGGAGTTTCGGATATGAAAACTAAGGAATCACATACACTGCAATATATATAATTGGATGGAAAACCATGGACTCTATCACTACTTTCAATTAATTTTCCATACATTATAATGTATCCATTTTCAGAAAGAATTCTTGGGTTCTCTTCAAGTATTTTTTTAAATAGATCACGGATACAGGAGCACCATATTTCTGATGTTTCATGATCATATCGTTCACCTAAAGGACATAATGCTTCTAATATTCTTCTATATTCTCTGAAGTTTTCATCACTATAGTCTACTGAAACTAGCTTATATTGGGCTTTACGATCTAAATCCATAATAGTGTTTTAATGGTTTATAATAGAATATAGCAATTTCAGTGTGTTATATCGATTCTTTATCAACCTATACTAGATAATAATATGATTTAAATTTATAGCGATTTATTGATTTGTAGCCGATTTAGTGAGACTACATACTGCTAAACCCAAATTCATTTTTTTAACATATAAATTAATTTGCGGATCTCTCGTGATTAATAGGTATTATGATATATATTGTATCACAAGTACCACCCTAGCTCCTAGATGGTTCTTGGCACTTCCTCATAATCTTCCTGCAACTCAAATCACGAGATGATCGGCTAATAAGATTTTACGCGTGCAATAATTAAGCCACCATTATTATTCGATTAATCATTATATTGATCATTATATTCATCATTATGCGAAGCGCCTATGGGGCTACTTTTTTTTCAAACCTTGACGCTAATTTATTCCCAGCTCATAAATCATGACATATATAAGAGAGCTCTTTTTAGTTTGCCCTGTTACCTCACTTCTTTTTTGCTTTCCATAAAACTTTTCATAAAGCTTTTCTTGAACGTAATAATGTCTGTATAATAGAGTGAAGAACAAACCTGAATATTCATTGATGAGTATAAAAATGGGAATGAAGAATATCACCGAACCCTGAATCGTAATAAAAGAAACTTTTGGGAAGATATTATGAATGAAATCAACTGAGTAAATAATACTAATTACTTCACTGGGGAAGATTGTAATAAGAAAATTTAGTTCTAACCCAAGCTTATTATGTAAGTACATTCAAAACATTTGATATACAGACCCCCGCCAAAAGTCTCCGAACATCATCTTTCGGCTATTTCATACCGAATACATCATATGACTGTATAATACTGCGGTCATGTAATGTACCTGACCTTTGTTTGCTTGAATCAAAACCAAATAAAAGCGTATTTGGTTTGTTTATTTTGATTTTTAACCAAAATAAAATTTACCTTCCGAA